TGAGCCTCACTTGCTCCGTTTATAAAATGGGACCGGCAGCGCTGCGCTCGTAAGGCTGCCGTGAGGCCCGGTACTGCAGGTGTTCAACACGCTGAGGGGCTCGTAGCCGGGACGTGCCGGGGTGCCGGGGGAATGGACGGCATGCCGCGCGCGCACTGTGCGCATCGGAAAAGGGGGTGTGCTTGGAAGGCTTTTTTTTTTTTTTTTTTTGCCAAGAGATTTAGCGCTTTTTTCTTCACCCCAGAAGGAAGACAAGGAAGCCTGGGGTTTATTCTTATCGCACACCAGCTCTTCATCTTGTCGGGACCAAACCATCATGACTCTGGGTCCCTTGGGTGACAGCTGATTCTTCTTCTCCCCGCAGCAGCGCACTGAGCGCAGGTGGAAGGGAAGGCGTGCCAACCCCCTTCCCTACATGGCTCGGCACTTCTGCCGGGATTGCCGGTCCCTCCGGCAGATCCAAGTGGGAGAGCGGAAAGGACTCCCGTCCTGGGAACGAGAGGCCTGGGCTCTTCGAGGTGTGCCGGCCCCCCACTCGGTGTCAGCATACAGGCCAGGGGGCTGGGCCACCCCCCAGCCAGCTCATTAAGCCCCGGACCCCAGGCACTGGGAGCAGCTGCACCCCTGTCTCTGGAGGGTTCTCTCTGCCTCCCCCTCACCTCTCCCTTCTCACTCCTTCCTCCCGATCCCCATCACTTCAGATGAGGAGGGAGAAGATGATGCATCCGTTTTCAGCGGCACAGCCAAGACCCCAGGAGCCACCGGCCAGGGCTATGGTCCAGCCGGGGGGTGCACAGCATGCGGGTGCGCGCACACACACACACACACACACAGTGCCTGCATTCGGGCCTGTGTGCAGACATGATTTGCATGCCCAGACCTGTTTACGAGGGCTGGGCATAATTGGCTTGCCTGGCTCAACACCTCGCACCCCCCCTCCCTTCTCTCCCTCCCCCCACCCCTGCACGCCTGGGAAGAAACGAGAAATGTGACACCAAACTCCAGTTGTGGCAAAACCCCCCCCCCCCATCAGCTGGCGGTCATGCGCTCTGGGCACGGCAGAGGGGGCGGGGCCGCAGCGTGGGGGAGTAATTGGTGAACCCAAGGTGAATGAAATAATTGGAAAAGTGAGGTGTGAGTTTGTGATGAAGTGTGAGCGGGTGGGGGAGGGAAGGAGGGCCGTGTTTAAAAGCCCGGTATGTCCTCTGTATTCACAGCTTCTGATACAGTAATTGCTATTTTGTGGTTTCTATTATCTACACAGTGGGGAGTGTACTTGTCTCCTTCCCCCAGCGGCAGGGTCGGGGCTGGGGGTGGGGGTAGTTCCTGGGTGCCCCGTGATTTTCTCCTCCCTCTCTGATCCCTGGCGGCCCCGCCCGGCCTCTGCTCCCAGGAGACCCGGGGACACGCAGAACTTCCTTCAAAAGCCACTCTTAAAAATGGCTCCGTGGACCTTCCTGTCAGATAAGAGCCTTAGTAATGGCTGGTATTTATATATCGCTTATCTCCAAGGAGCTAAAGGTACTTCATCGATTTTCCCCCCCAACCTTTTTTTTTCCTTTTTAATTCTCTTTCGATATAGCTGCGAGATCGTTAGTATCAGCCTTATATTATCCCGCGCAGTTATACAAGCAGCCAGAGCCTTCCACCTTCACCCGCTTTGTTCTCGGGCCAGAGGAGTGGCAGCCATGGGCACCAGCCTGCCTGGGCGTGGGACGTGGGCAGGTCACCGGGCCTCTGCAGCCTCTGGTTTTCTCACCTGGGAAAATGGAGGCAGCGGCACTCCTGGCCTACCTACCGTTAGTATACCTGGAAACTGTATTTTAAAAATATTTTTTAACGTTTATTTTTGAGAGATGAGCATGAGCGGGGGAGGGTCAGAGAGAGAGGGAGGCACAGAATCCAAAGCAGGCTCCAGGCTCCGAGCTGTCAGCACCGAGCCCAACGCGGGTCTCGAACCCACAAACTGAGATCATGACCTGAGCTGAAGTCGGCCGCTTACCCAACTGAGCCTCCAGGCACCCCTGGAATCAATATTTAAAAGGCCGAGCACGTCACAGGCATTCAGTCATTGGCGTCTGGGGTTTGGGCAGCAATAGCAGTGTCTTGAGACTCTCCGTTCATCTCAGGCCTTCCCAGACATCAAGGAGTCCCTTCTGAGATCGAACCCGAGTCTTGCAGCTGCTCCTTAACGCTCCGCTTTCTCTGGCACGGTCTGTGCTCAGAAGGAAGGGAGACACGTGCCGTGACCGGTTCCTTGGCACCCCCTCCCCCTTGAAGAAGAGTGGGATTTCTGGAGCTACTGGGTCCTTGGACGGAGTATCTCATGCCGTGCAGAGGGGAGCTGTGGCCTCCCTACGCCCCCCCTCGGATTCCTGCGCGCAGTCCCTCGGGATCCAGGGCGCCCCTCTGCCATGCGCCCCGCCCCCACCCCGCGCCGAGCTCTCAGTGCCACTTCTCCAGACCACGCGAGCACACTGCCTTCAGCCTCTGCTCATCAGCTTTTCTCTCCACCTTTTAATTATTTTCCTTGCCTTTCTGCAGACCCTCAGCTGCTTGTCATGCACAGAGCACCCCTGGCTTGCGGCTCGCGGCCGAGGGAGGAATTAGCCTCGGCCTTGTTTCTCTCCCCCGTCTCTCACGCACACACTCACGTGAGCCAGCTCACCAGAAATTAGGGCCGTGAGGAAATCTGGGCAGAGGCCGCCAGGACCATCGAGGGACAGGATGGTCATCCACGTGGGCAGAGGCAGAGGCTGGCATGTGGCGTGAACGGGAGGAACTGGGACTCGGTCACTCTCTTTTGTCCCGGGGTCTTGGGTACATCACCGGATCCATTAGGGTCCAAGCAAGCCCTCCCCGGCTACCCACTTCCAGCCGTGGACAGAGCTCTGGCTTACCATCAGACCCGCCCGGGTTCGCATCCTAACCTTGCCCCTTGCTAACAGGAGCTGCTGCCTCCCTGACCTCAGTTTCCCCATCTGTAAAATGGGGGTGGCAAGACTAATTCACATCTGTGCTCTTTGTACATGCCCTGTGGCCTGCTTCCACACAGTCCTCGACACGTCCCTGTGAGTGCTGGCGGCGACGTGCCAGCAATTGTATCTACAGCCGGGACTGCTGTTTTCTCCCTTGTTCACTGAGCCAGGCACTGGCCTCCTTGCTGCCGCTTCCCTGAGAAGCGAGATGGAGGCGGCCTCTGCAGAGCCGGGCTCCAGCTCCGGGAAGGCAGAGGGCACACAGGCGTCCGCACCAGTGCCCTCCTTGAGAAGCACAGTGAGCCCTCTGGGGGCCCAGCCTGGGGCCTGGGGCAGGGGTGGGGGGACCTGCACACCCATGGGTTGTTGCAGGCTGTGGGCACAGCACAGCACGCGCTGGGCACCTGAGACCTGGGCGGTGTGCGCCGAGGCCTCCTCCTACCAGTCGTAACTGCTGTCACTCTCTGGTCCTCAGGGCCATCGGGCACACAGCACCATTTATCTGAACCAGCCTATGAGAAAACTCAGCCATCCCCCCCCGCCCTCCCCCTGCCTGCCCTGACAGATGCCCTGACCGAGGCCCGGGGCTCCCGTGGAGGAAGAGGTGGCGATGTCATGGGCTGCGATGGCCTTTAGGTGGCAGAAGAAAGCAGGGTTTGCAGGCTGGACTCCTCGGGCCTCCTGCCTCACCTTCCTGCCTTTCCCCACCTGCCCAGCCACTGGGCCCCCCCGGAGCCCGGAGCCCAGAGGAGCAGGCAGGCCCGCAAGACTGACAGGGCCCCAGCGCCTGCCCCGCAGCCCCTCCCCTGCCCGGGAGGCCGGCCTCCTCCCCAGCCTGGGGGCGGCCGCCGGGAGAGCTCTGAGGAGACGTGCAGATTCATTTTGAGGATTCATAATGCTGCATTTACACAGCGCCCTGCCTTCAGAAATGGGGCCGGCTGATGCCTGGTCATGCTGGCGGGGCCGCGGGTAGCGCCTCGGATTTAGCTTCTGTCGTTTCACGAGAGCTTACGGCCCTTAACTGTGTTTTTCACCCAATCGGTCTTTGGCCCCGGAGCATCCTAGGCCATTGAGTGTACGCGTGTGCGCCCAGGTGCCCGCAAGTACACGGAGATTTTCAAATAAAACAACCCCTCTTCAGATGCCGCGCACATTAAATATTTATTGGCAGCGATCTGTGCATATATATTTGATAAATGGACATTAGGATGGGGTTGGGGCTGGGAAGTGAGACAGCGGAGCCGGGGAGGCCTGATCCTTTTGTCCGGGAATTTCTCAGGCATTTCTGTGGGAGGAGAGGGCGGGTGGCGGGGGAGGGGAGGGTCCCGGCTGTGCTTACCTGTTAGATCCCTGCCAGGGGGAGCCAAGCTGTTTTTGTCTCCCGAGCTTGGCCTGACTTTGGTTTAGCAAGTATCAAAACTAAAGCCCAAATGTAGACGATCTGGGGTTTAAAGGAGCCGAGGTGCCTGGTTCCCGCGCTCGGAGCGCTGAAGAACCCCTCCCCCACCCCCCTGCATCCCGGGTCAGGGAGAAAAGGCTCATCCTGTTTGCTCAGTGCACACAGGCGTGCGGTGTGCTTGGCTCGGCCGTGCAGGCGTGTTCAGGCCAGGAGACCCTGCTGACTCCGCGTCCGCGTGCCTGGCTTGCACACAACGAGCGGCCCGCGCCCTGACCTGCCTGTGCAGGGCTGCATCCCCCACCCCCAACCCCCTGCCAGACCCTCAGCCCCACGGGCCAGGGGAGGACTGGGAATTCTCCATCAGCCTCTCCAAGCCCGTCACCCCTCCCTGCCCAGCACGATGGCCGGGATCTGAAAGGAGGAGGCCCGGCGTGTGCCCCGGAGCCTGTACTGGCCGGCGGGGAGGCAGCCCGGGTGTGTGCTGTGTGTGTGTGACCTGTGAGCACCTCTCTTTTCTAACCAGAAGGGATGAGTGTGCGAGTTGGTCCTGCCAACGCACACACACCCCATCCCCTGCGTGGGCCCCAATTCTTAAACCTCTTGTGTTTGCCGTTTGTCTCTAGCACCTTCGGGGAGCTGAAGACCGTCCGCCTGCCGAAGAAGATGGGCGGGACCGGCTCACACAGAGGGTTCGGCTTCGTGGACTTCCTCACGAAGCAGGATGCCAAGGTGAGGCAGGGCCCTCCCCCGCTTCCCCTCCCGCCCCCATCCCCCAGCCCTTTGTAGAAGCAGCGAAACGTCTGAAGGGACGTGGGTGGGCATATCCCTGCCCCGCCTGGTTTTCCCGGTGTCGGTGTCTCCCCGTCCCTGTTCATCTGTGCCGCTCCCTCGGAAGAAAGGACCCTGGGCGGTGCATTTCAGGGTGGGGGCAGCCCTGGGTCTCCCTCCCCCTCTCCTTCCCTCGCTCGCCCACCCACGTGACAGAAGCAGGCTCTTGGATACAATGTGGGGATGTGAGTGGCTTTCCCAGGCCTCCCGAGGTCAGACAGAGCCCCCGACTGTGAGCGCCCCCCAAAGGCGGGGTCCGGGGGCGGTGCTGGGAGAGGAGGCTCCCACAGGGACCTGGAGCTGGGGACCTGGGGCTGGGGCCTGTGGGTCGCGCTGCTTACAGACAAGGTTGGCCCAGGCGGGGGCCGCGGGGTGGAAGTACGGGGACAGAATTCTGCAGGCTCCTCGGGGACAGGACCCCTCTTGTTTCTGAAGCGGCGGCCTGTCGCGATCTTGGCCGCAGTGTGGCAGGTGGGCGTGGGTGCCAGGAGCACAGGCCGTGTGGTCAGGGGACTGGCTGTGTTCGCGGCTGCCGAATCCCCAAGGGAGGTGGCGGCATCACTGTCCCCGCAGGCCCTCTCACGAGGCCCCCCTTGTTGGCCTCCCCTCTCCTCGAGGGCGTGGGGAAGCAACGGGTGGGTCTCCCCAGCGCCGGGACCCCTCCCTGGGAAGGGCAGAGTGTGTATTAGAATCACACCCGTGGGCCCTCAGCGAGCGAGCGCGCATTGCCAGAGCCCCGGTGGGCGGAGCCGAAGGTGACATGTCAGGGACACAGCTGCGGCCTTTGTGGGCCCTGGGAACACGCACAGGCGCAGAGGGCACTCCTGGGACCTCAGGGAGCCTCGCCAGCCACCTTTGTCTCAGCGTCTTGAACTCAAGTGCCTGTTTTGTCGACACGTGGCCACGTTTGTCCGGACATCTGCTCTCCTTTCTTCTCGGCTGGCAGCCTTCCCCCGCCGCCTGTCCGTGGGCACCCCTGCATGCGGCAGCAGGGCCGGCGCCTTTGGGGGGACCCGCACAGGCTCAGAGGGCAGCCGTCCAGGGCCCTTCCTGCCGGCAGCGTGGCCCCCCAGCCGTGCTCCGTGCCTCGGTTTCCTCATGTGTAAAGCACCCTCCGGGGTGAAGGCAGAGGGTGCACAGGGACCCCCAGCATAGAGTGCTGGAGACAAGTGGGTTCCTTCTGCCCCTTCCCACCAGCCCTGTTCCCTCGAGAGCCGGCGTGCCCTCACCCCAGACGGACGGGAGGGGCGTGCGGGGCGGTGTTTCCTCCCCGGCCTGCCGACCAGCTCTGGGCTCCAGCGGGCGCGGGGGTTGGGCGGCGAGGGTATAGGGCTGTTGGCGCCTGTTTGATATCAGGGTTCCTGCATGAGATTGTGACCAGGGGCGGAAAGGGGGTTCACTCCCAACCCTGAGAGATGACTCTCGTGAAGGGGCTCGTTCGTAGGGCACAAACTCTGAAGCCAGACGGCCTGAGTTGGGGTCCTAGCACTCCCCTGTCTGCCAAGTGACCTCGGGCAAGCGACGGACTTTCTGTGTGCCTCCGTTTCTCCAGCCTTTATGAGCCGGGAGAGGATTTTCCTCAGGGAGCTCCTGTGAGGTTTGGGTGGGGTGATGTTCTTGGAGTGTTCCTGACCCCGGGGGCTCTGTCGGTCGGTTCGCTGTGGTGAGGAGGCGATGATGGGGTGAACTCAGGAGGAGACGGGACAGGGCCGAGGGGAAAGCTTCAGAGCTCCTCAGCCGGGAGGCATGCCTCTGGCACACAGTGGCCTCTGTCCGGGGCTGGGCTGGAGGGTCAGGCCAGGTGTGGGCTCCCAGCCCCCAGCTCCATGCGCGGCACTGCCGGGACGCCGTTGGTCACGGTCTTGTCCCCCGGGATCGCTGGGGCAGGGGCCGCTCCTCAGGTAGACGGGGCGGCGCCTGACCCCAGAGCCAGGCTGCGGACGTGATTTCCGAAGCCCAGCACAGCGGTCCGGGACTTACGGAGGGGGTCCGTCCCTTCCCCGCCTTCGGTCCTGGGCTCCAGGAGGGGGAGGGGTGGCTGAGGGCAGCAAGGACTCAGCCCGCGGTCCCTCCCCCGCCGCAGGCGGCAGCCGGGCTCCCACGGCCCCGCAGCAGCCCTTGCTCCGGGCGCATGAGGTGAGGACGGGGCCCTGTGTGTGGAGCTGCCCTGCATGCGGTGGGGCCCCACCAGGAGCGCGTCCCCCTGCACATCCTTTGCTCTTTTTGCTTCTCGGGGAAGCTGCCTCTCCCTCTTCTTCTCCGTGTCTGTCTGAAGAACTGTATTGTCTGCCGAGTGGCACATTCAGCACCTGCCGCTGGCCCGGAGAGCCGTGTGCGCGTCTGCTCGCAGTTCTGACTGCCGTCCGCGTCGAGGGTGGGCGAGAGTCCAAAGAGGGGGTGCGAGGCTGTGAGGAGACACCGAGGAAAACGCCCCGAGATTTTTACTCCCGCAGAAGGAGTCTGTGGGGGTGCTGGGGGATCATGCTATCCCCACCCTCGGGCGGGCAACCCCCAAGTGGCTGTCATCTTTCCAAAGCACCTGGGGAAGGAGCCTTCCTTGAGAAGCCTTCCCAGGGCGTCACTGATCCCCAGCCACCTGCATCCCTTGCTGGGGGCTCCACCCCCATTGCCCGGCAGGACCCCCTCCTGGAGATGGAGGGCGTCACTCTTGGCTTGGGTCACCCTTGAGCCTTGCGTCAGAGCCTCCCCTAGGGGCCCCGGGGCCATGCTCAGAGGGAGGAAAGGAGAAGGGGAGGGGAAGGGGAAATGGGGGGTGGGTACTGGGGGAGAAGGGAGAGGGTGACGAATGGCTGAGCGTTCAGTGTCGAGTCTGGGAAGCAGCAGAGAAACAGATCTTTTCTGGCTGGGGCCGGGACCAGGTATGTTGGCTCCCAGTACAGTGCTCCTTCACCAGCCTCAGCCAGCCCCCTTCACCTGCTGGCCAAGGCGAGCATTAGCTGCGGTCCATCCCTGGAGGCAGCCCCCCGGCACACGTGCCTGTCTGCACTGTCCCTCCACCCTCCGCTCTGAGTCTTCTGAGCTTCCTCCACGACACCGCGTTCCAGCCCGCACACGACCAGGGACTTTGTCACCCGTCAGGCCCCTCTGGGTCGAGCGCACACCCCCAGGCTGTGAAGAGAATCCTAGCACGAGGCGTGGCAGAGGCTGTCGTGGCAGAGCTCAGAGTAACCAGGCAACTGATGACAATAACCAGAGGCCCCCGCGACCGAGCGCGCCGGCTTTGTGTGTGACATGTACACCGCACGCGCATTGTCTCCTCCCAGCCTGCAGCGGCCCTGGGAGTCCTGCGCGAGGTCTGCATGCGTCCCTCCGGGTCTCCAGGCGGTTGCTGAGCTCTGTCTGCACCGCCGCAGAGTCCCGTGGACCGATCCTGCGAAGCCTGGGCCTGGCCACCGGGGCCAAGGCGCTGGGCTGGAGGAGACCCGTCTACCCTCGTCACGGGCTCGGTGATCTGGCACATTCCTGCACCCTGGGACGTTGGTCAGCCCTCGATGTCCTGGGCAGTGAACGTCAGCCCCTCTGAACATGCCAGCTTCCCCTAAAGCTCCAGGGGCAGTGAGCCGATGCTTCCCAGAGAGCCCGCCCCCTCAAGGGGGAGGGGGTGAGCCAGGCTGCAAGGAAAGACTGGAAGTCACGGGCTCTGCGGTCCCAAACGCAGTGGTCTTCCCCGGGTGGCCTGGGTCTGCACTTCTGTGCACTGTCGTCTCCCTGTCTCAGGTGCCCCATGGCTCCCTGGGCCCTGACGTTTCTAGAAGGGTGGCGTCTTGGCAGCGATGAGAACCGCCAACTTCTAAGAGCCCATCTTGGCAGGGAGGCTGCTGGGCTTTAGCCCTCATCGCTTTTAATCCTCCCAGGACTCTAGGAGGCGAGAGGCAGGTGGTGTTTGACATGTGGGGAAACTGGGACTCGAAGGGGTGAAGTCACTCACCCGGCCTCATGCAGCCAGACCTGGGCAGAGCTGGGAAACCCCGCGTGCTAATAGCCAGACACCAAAGCCTGTGCGTCCAGGGTGCTCCCCGCCTGGTTCACTCACTCACTTAACCTGAGTGCCGGCCCCCCCTCCCTGGCACCCCTGCCGCTGTCCACCTGGCACCCCGCAGAGAGAAGGGCTTGCCTATTAGAGGCGTTTTGGGGGAGGGGCCAGAGCATCTCTTGGGAGCGTGCCCAGGAGAGTGAGCACCCCAGTGTCGGGCTCATGAGCACGCGAGCCAGCGTCCAGCCCTCCCGAGCCCGACGGCAGCCTGGTCCCGGAGAGGCCCCCGTAGCCACAGGGCTTCTGTTGTGCAGCCACTGCCTCCCCCTCCCCCCATGTTTTGCCCAGAGCGGGCTGGTGCTGCAGGAGGAGAGGAAGGCCAGCCCGGAAGAGAAGGGATGGGAAGGGCGGACTCTCAGCCCGGGAACCGGAATATTAATTTTTCCCCCATGCGTGCGCCTTTAATTTCCCCTCCCCGAGCCCGCCGCGCCTTTGTACTTTTGCAGTTGTGGCTGTTTTTATTTGCTGCCGCTGCTGTTGTTTTAAAAGGTCTATTTTCACATGGAATGTTATCCAATTAGCAGAGCAATGTGTTGGCTTAAATAAACACTTGGGGGGAGCCGGCAGCAGGGAGACGTGATGGCGGCTGGCGTTGGCAGGCAGCGCTGTTCTCACCGTGGTAAACAACCGCCGCTTTAATTGTGGGGTCGCACCAGTTAATGTGTCCCTTCCCGGTTCTCGCGTCTGCACAGTGCTGGGGGAGGGGGCGGGGGGGCGGGGTGTGTGTGACATGGACGAGAGGCCCGGGCCTGGCCGCGCCCACGCCGTCGCCTCGAGGACTCTGCCGAAATCAGACCTGTGGCAGAGAGAGGGGGACCGTGAGGGGGCCAGATGGAGCCGCTCGGGG